CCCCCAGAGAAGGGCGTGCAGCGCGCTATGCGGGCCACGGGCTCCGATTCACGGGTTCATGTTTTGCCCTCCCGGAGAGAGGGCAGGCGGAGGGATCTGGTAAGTGATAATGTGTGTGCTCCAGCCGAACGCGTGTTAGCATCTCTGAGCTACAAGGCTAACACGGGGTTTCCCAATCCAGGGGCTCGTCCCCCCCTCCATGAGGCAAGAGCCGAGGGGGGGCACAGCAGCCGTGTCACGTGTGGTGAGCAGAGCTACAAGGCTAACACGGGGTTTCCCGATCCAGGGGCTCGTCCCCCCCTCCATGAGGCAAGAGCCAGGGGGGGGCACAGCAGCCGAGTCACGTGTGGTGAGCAGTCCCGTACTTATGACGTCGGGCCTGCAGAACACGTGACGCAGGGGCCCCCCCGGCCCTTTCAGCCACCCCCCCTCCCTGCTAGGAACACCAGGAGGGGGCGGGGCCGTGACGTCTCGTGTTCCAACTCCCGTTCCGCCCCTCACAGATTTCTACACCATCTGGAGGGAGCAGGGCCTACTGACAGATATTTGGCTGGAGAAAACTCTGCGCAGAGGTTACGCTCTGCAATTTTTCCGAAAGCCACCACCATTCCGAGGCGTACGGGCAGTACGCTCTCAGGTACGGGGATCGACAGAGGCACTAGAAGCGGAGGTCTCCTCTCTGCTGAGTCGAGGCGCAGCAGTGGAGGTAGACCCGCAGGACGCCACCAGGGGGCTGTACTCCCCTTACTTCTTAGTGCCAAAGAAATCAGGCGGGGTGCGTCCCATTCTGGATCTGCGCGTGTTAAACGAGTGCATTTCCAAGCGGCAGTTTCGGATGCTGTCCATAAGGCAGCTCCTCGAGTGTGTCAGGGAAGGAGACTGGATGACTTCCATAGACCTGACAGACGCATATTTCCACGTGCCCATAGTGCCAGAACACAGGAGGTTTCTGCGCTTCGCAGTGGTAGAGAGGAATTACGAGTACTGCCGTCTCCCCTTCGGGTACGCACTCGCGCCTCGCACCTTTTCCAAATGTGTGGAAGCAGCTCTGGAGCCGATCAGACGTGCGGGGGTAAGAATATTAACCTATATAGACGATTGGTTAATACTGGCCCCATCCAGGGAAGTGGCCGTGAGCCACACGCACTGGGTCCTGTCCCACATACAGCGTCTGGGCTTTGTGGTGAACAGGGAGAAGAGCAAGCTGCAGCCAGCCCAACGCATGGTTTACCTCGGTCTGCAGCTAGACTCGGTGATATTCCGTGCTGCATTGTCCGTGGACAGACGGATGAGTATTACCCGTCTGGCCCGGGAGGTTCTGGCGGGCCCCAGAGTCCCCGCTCGGCGCCTCAGGTCCCTGCTGGGAATGATGGCAGCGGCTCATGCTGTGGTGCGGCTAGGCCTGCTCCACATGAGAAATTTTCAGAGGTGGTTCTCGCGCCTCAGGCTTCACCCCTCCCGGGACGGGGGGAGGCTGATCTGGGTTCCCCAAGGGGCGGCATCGGACATCAGGTTCTGGCTCACTCCGGGTCTATTGCGGGACGGAGTGACTCTGGCCTGCGCTGTGTCTCATGTCGAGGTGTTCACGGACGCGTCGCTCGAAGGATGGGGCGGGGTCCTCGGCCAGAGCTCTGTAGGAGGCTGCTGGTCGGACTCAGCCCGTCACATCAACCTGCTGGAGATGGAGGCAGTGCACAGAGTACTGCTGCACTTTGCCCCTCAGCTGCAGGGGAGACACGTGATGGTGCGCTCAGACAACACCACAGTGGTCTCCTATCTGAACAGGCAGGGGGGCACCAGGTCCCCCGCTCTCCATCGCATGGCGACGGTGACGCTGCTGTGGGCGGCGCTTCACCTCCTGTCTCTCAGGGCGCGCCACGTCCCGGGGGTCCGGAACGTGGGAGCCGACAGAATGTCCAGGGGGGGCCCACTCCAGGACGAGTGGGGCCTGGCCCCACGGGTAGCTGCGGAGATCTGGCGGAGGTTCGGCCGTCCAGTAGTCGACCTTTTCGCCAGTGCAGAGAACGCACAGTGCCCGTCCTGGTTCGCCTTAAGGGCCGCGGACGAGCCGCCTTTAGGCGTGGACGCTCTGGCTCATTACCCATGGCCAGGCGGCCTGTTGTACGCTTTCCCACCGGTGCGTCTCCTGCCGGTCCTGCTGCGGAGGATCGAACAGGAGAGGAGATCGGTGATTCTGGTGGCTCCGGACAGTCCACATGCCCGGTGGTTCCCCTTCCTGAGGGGCATGGCGGTGATGGAGCCCTGGGCCCTCCCGGACGAGCCGGGGGCTCTAGTCCAGGGGGCAGGAGCCCTGTTTTCACGTCCGATAATCGGCCGCAGGCTCTGGGTTTGGAGGTTGAGAGGCGGAGCCTCGTAGATCTGGGTCTTCCCCCTGCGGTGGTGGAGACTATTCAGGGAGCGAGGGCGCCGTCCACCGTGAGGGCCTACGCCACGAGGTGGAGGCTATTCAGTGTCTGGTGCGATTCCCGTTCCTGGGATCCCAGGTGTTGCCCGCTGGAGGGGGTCCTGGGATTCCTACAGGAGCTTTTCGACAAGGGGAGGGCTGTCGCTACCTTGGCGGTGTTTGCGGCAGCCATTACTTCGGGTCACGACGGGTTCGGGGGGTTCACAGCCCGCTCTCACCCGTTGGTTAAACGTTTTCTGCGGGGGGCGCGCAGGAGGAGGCCCCCGCTCCAGAGAACGCCTCCGGTTTGGGACCTCAGGGTGGTCCTTAGGGGGCTGTCGGGTTCGCCTTTTGAACCGGCGGCGGAGGCGAGTCCCGAGTGTATCGCTTTTAAGACGGCCCTCTTACTGGCGTTGGCGTCTGCTAAAAGGGCGGGCGATTTGTGTGCGCTCTCCGTCCATGCGTCGTGCCTGTCCTTTGGAGAGGACGACGGCATGGTGGAGTTGTGGCCCAATCCGGCTTTTCTCCCCAAGGTCATCACGTCGGCCTTTAGGTCGAGAGTGATCAGGATTAGGGCTTTCCACCCGCCGCCGCATGCCTCCCCCGAGGAGGAGCGGCAGCACCTTCTGTGTCCTATCAGAATGCTGAGGCATTACCTGGCCATGACGTCGTCATTCAGGTCGGGTGATCAGCTGTTTGTGTGTCTGGGCCCCAAGAACAGGGGCGCCCCGCTGTCGGCTCAGCGGCTGGCGCATTGGGTCGCCACGGCGGTGCGACGGGCGTATCAGACGCAGGGCCTGGCCCCCCCGGTGGGTTTCAGGTCGCATTCCACGCGTGGGATGGCGGCCTCTACGGCCCTTCTCAGGGGGGCGTCGGTCGAGGACGTTTGCCGTGCGGCTTCTTGGGCGTCGTCCTCCTCTTTCGTCCGGTCTTATCTTTCGGATGTGTCGGACCGGTCGGTGGCCCATTCCGTGCTGAGTGCAGCGGATTGAGTTAGACCGTTGGGTCCCTCCCCTTAGGGGGGGCCTTCGGTCTAATTTCCGCCCTGGTGCAGGAGCTCTTGGGAGAGGCATCCTACAGGTGCGGTACATTGTGTGTGTGGTCGGTCTGGTAGTCCTCGTCAGGAGCTCTTGGGAGAGGCGTCCTGTGACTACGTATGACCTACGGCTTGTGTTACGTGGGGGTATCCTTGGTAGGAGTGGCCCCGTAACACGCTTGTTCTTCTGCCCTGAGTCCTCTCACGTTGTGAGGGTCTTACTCGGGCGGAGCTCCAATCACCCTTCGCTGGCCTGCTGGGAGTACATTTTCCTACGGCCTCCGCGTTGTGTCCCACTAGCGAAGTCCTAAGGGACGTAGCACCATGACGTAGAATTAATAGTTACTTAATGTAACTTAAGTTCTACGAATAGGTGCGTAGTCCCTTAGCTACGAGCCCATCAGGCCAGCCCGGCTTGGCAGAGTTCAAGAGGGGGTGCGGCCTTGTGCAGGGGCATTTATAGAGGAAGGTGGCTGGTGATTGGAGCAAATTATTTGATCTCTCTGGCGCGTGACCTGGGGGTCACGAGTGATATCCCACTAGCGAAGTCCTAAGGGACTACGCACCTATTCGTAGAACTTAAGTTACATTAAGTAACTATTAATTACCAATCTATTCTTTCCTCCACAGTGGTGCTCTTTTGCTGCACTGGAAAAGAATTATTAAAAATTGAACTGGAGACCAATTTACTCCAAGCATGGGACACATAATGGGAGCTTTTTCACAGCTTGTTGCTTAGGAACATATTTGTTATGTTCTGTCTTCTGCAGATAGACGCGTGCCTAACCCTTTGGTTTTCCTTTAAGCTCCAAAAGCCACAACCTTTGTTTAGATGTACTTATTCGGAAAAAAAAAAAAGTTTGTTCTTTATAGTATTCTTTTCAGGTTTTCATATGCATTGACTCCATCTTGTGAAAATGCGGTGGAATTAGGCCAACATCTGCACATATGAGGAGCCATGTTTAATGTCAGCAGTCTCTGAGGAGCTCACGAGAAGAAAACAGCATGAGTCACTTTCAAACAAACAGATGGAACAAAAGACACCAGAGAACAAACAATATTACACATTTCTGCTAAACATCAGTGTTAGATGTAGTCAATACATCTAACACATGACGGCCTTATAGAATTATACTGTAGAACCACGTGAACCTAAACCAGCAAAATTTGGCTCTACAGAAAATGACTGATATTTTCTCAGACGACATGAAAGAGCCACCTATAGTAAGAGGCTCTTATAGAAATAAAATTGTAGACTTGGAGAATCATGACACCAAGAATAGTCTTGCCTCTCTCACCATGATGTTGCTTAGACGGATATTGTGATGATACTGATGTCTGTGTTGGAACAGTCTAATTACCCCAGGTATTCATAATGGCTTTGCTAAATCAACCCATTGCTCACTACACATTTGTCATTCACATAAAACCACTTTAAACCGGGCCATTAACGCTCTTTTCACTGATTGAAATTCACACAGCTTTCCTCTTTCCGCTCAGTTAATCTGCATCTCTACACTGATAGTTTTATTATTGCGCGAGCCGGAGGTGAGCCCTAAATCAATCGTGATCACGAGAGGTGAGTTTTCCCGTCAACTTCAAAACAAACAAAGTCAAAGTGGCTCGTTCTGGAGATGACGAGTCGTTCAGGTCGTCACTGAGGCACTGGTAACACAAGCACTGGCTACGCAATGAGGCATGGCAGTGTGCAGCTGTCACACACAAACACACACATATACACACACACATGCGCAAACACAAACGCTTACACACACACATATACACACATGCACTCGTACACTCACATACGCACACACACACACACACACACACGTTGTTCAGGATAATGTCAGAGGAGAAGACAGGTTGTGTACAGTAAAACAATATCTGTGTTATTACTTAATTTTCAATTTGTTTCAATTGTAAGATATAAATTCCAGTTGTGAAAATGACAAAGCTGCGACGGACTACACAACTAATTATAGGTGCACAACAACAGCAGCTCACGCAATGTTGACAAAATGACAATTGAAGAGAAAATAAGGAAATCAGTGGCATATTATGCTGCAGGATCATTATAGCTGCATTTGAAAAGCCAGTTCCCATCAAAGCTTAGTATTTCATTTGGGGCATTAAAATAATAATATTTGACTGCAAGATTCAACCATTTTATCCTGAGCTCAAAGAGTCATGTTCCTGCAGGTGATGAAGGCCATTACATTAAAACCTTTTTAATCTGACAAGAATCTCTGAAGGCCTTTGAGAGCACATTCTGCACACACTGTTCAGGGCAATAAAGCTTTAACCAACTCTTTCAATCAGATCCATTCATCCGCACGTATACAGCCTACTGCAACGCACTGCTGTTCATTTACAGCCAATTTTCTACACAGAAATACAGCAAACAGTTAAGTAATGTAGCAATGCATTGAAGACTGCCTGACGTGAGACAGATGTTTTAAATTACAATACAATACAATACAATTTATTCGTGTATATCCCTAAATCACAACAGTAGTCATCTCAGAAGACTTAACAAAACCATTGAAATCAACAACACAGATCAGAGAATCAACAACACAGATCAGAGAATCAACAGCACAGATCAGAGAATCAACAGTTAAGACACAAAAAGAATATAGAACACATGTTGATAAATCTCCTACATGTTGTAGAATGTTAAAGTGTCCTGGATCATCACCACAGTCCTTCTAGTAGCCGGCCTTGATGTTTATTCATTGAACTGAATTTCTCCATCTGTGAGATAATAAAGGATTGATTGATTGATTGAAAAAAGTGAGAAACCTTGGGGAGGTGCCATGCGAAATATTGAGAGAGGGGTCCGCTTCACACAGACGGACGGGCTATCGATCCAGGACCTAAGCTACAGAACGTGGACCAGGGCCGCAGGACGTGGACAGGTCCGGAATTAGTTAGATTACAGCACACTGTATTTCAAATGCATGTGGCAGAGGCCAAACATGAAAACTAGTGAGAGATTCAAACTGTTAAAGAACCTGGAGCTCAGGACATGGATTTGTTTTTCTTTTCTTTTTTTGAAACGGCTTAAAGGAAGGTTTTTAAATCTCCAAATCTCAGTGACTAAAATAAAGTTTAAGTTTTATACTATTGCTCATGTCTGTGCGAGAAAATACATGTCATTTCTTTGTAACCTGCTGCCAGCTTTTATTGTTATTTTATGGTGGAATTATTTACAGTGTATTTACAACCCGTCAACTTAGTAATTTATTCTGATTCGTCATTCTCAGGTCGTCAAGGTCATCTCTGTCACAAATAGCCTCTGGCTTTGCACATATGAAGCACAGTCAGTGAATATAAGGTTTGGTAATTACACATTAGAGGTAGAGGCAGATAATTGAGCTTGTTGAAAGCATATGTCTGTTTTTGTGTGTGTACATGATGTGTACATAATTCTAAAATGCTGCAAACAATATGTCTGTAGTTTTGAGGCCAGTTAGACGGACAATAACTTGCATTTATTATCGTAGTGAGAGACTTATTTCTCTGTATTTCCTGTCTGTTGGACAGTTAGTGTCTAACAAGAAGGACGGTGGTGATGATCCAGGACACTTTAACATTCTTCAACATGTCTCTACACTTATCAACATTCATATGTGCTCTTTACTTGTGTGTCTTAACTGTTAATTCTCTGATCTGTGTTGGTGAGTTCAATGGTTTTGTTAAGTTCTCTGAGATGACTGCTGTTGTTATACAAGAATAAATTGTATTGTATTTTATTGTCTAATCCAGTGTCTCCCAAAGTGGGGTCCACGGGAGGGTATTGCAGGGAGGCCGCGAGAGGTCATAAAAAAAATAATGTTTTATATAATTATTGTATGTAAAATTCAAATATTTGTGTTCATTAATTGACTTGAATAATCAAATTGTAATCATTTTTGTATTAAAAAATGGGGTGCATCATTTACATGTTTGTAGCATAGGCTATTTCCCCAAACTAAAATAACGAAAAGAGCCTATTTTTAACGCTGTCTTCTTAGTTATTATTTCGGGGGGCCCCACTCACCCATCAGATTTTTAAGGAGGCCGCGGTGTAACTGACTTTGGCAATGGCTGGTCTAATCCTCTTATAACAGAAAATGTCAAGAAAAAGTTAGACCCTTCTCTAACCCTTATCAATTGTGGTCTAATTATTTTCCAATGTGACTTCAACTTGTGTCTTAACTGTTGATTCTCTGATCTGTGTTGGTAATTTTGATGGTTTTGTTAAGTCCTCTGAAATGACAACTGTTGTAATTCAGGGCTATACAAGAATATATTGCGATTGTAATTGCAATGAAGCTCTCATAGAAGTGGTCATAATATTATATGGCACAATCAAATCATGATCAGGGAAAACATCTGAACCTTTCCTTTATAAAAGTCCCATGGAGTTGGTAAAAGCACCTGTCCTACAACTTTAAATATTAGTTGGAGGATTTTTATTTCTAAATATGATTAGAAATAATAATTAGAGAATTGAGTGGGTGCAGAGGTGGAGCAATGTTTTTTACCCAATCGATATTTGAGCTGCGGCTTCATGTAGAAACAATGTAGGGACAAACCAGTGACAGGGGGAAGGGTGAGGCTGTGGATGGAGGGATGGGGAGTCATTTTGCACACATCATGCTCCAAACGCCTCCCAATGTTTCCATGGTAACACTGCACTGGTGGCATAACTCGTAAAATCAGGGGTTTCTGCTCGGGCCAAAAACACCGTAGATGTTTTTATTGTTTAGTTTGTCCACAAAAGTACTGCACAGTTTTGAGAGACAGTGATTGAGCTCAAGACAATGAAAGTCAATGTTTTATGGTTCTGTTGACTTTGAAGAGAATCTCGTGCCATTATTGTTTAATCTAGTAAAATGGCATCAGTGGCCAAGATTGTAAAGTGCTATTTCAGACGTAAAGCCTCGAGTCCCATTTACAAGTAAATATCCACAGTGTGTCATTAGCTAAATGGGTGTTCTCTTTCAATCTGTTAGCCAAGAAATAGCGGACCAGGAGACCAACGACGAAATGAATAAAGACACAATTCATGAATCGTAATGACTTTGTGTCTTTCAGTTTTCCTACAAGTGCCATTACATGAGGCAACTTTATGGAAATGGCCGAACTTATATACTGTAGTTGATTGCATATTCGCTCTTATACAAAGCAGCTGCTTAGCCGTCACTGACAACATTTGTGATGGCTGATTTCATTACAGATGTCATAGGGGAAGGTTGGCCTGCCCTCAGCTGCAGAGCACTTATGATGCGAGAGCTAATGCACACATAATGTCCTACAGGCATCTATCATCTTTGCACCTATTGTGACAAAGCACTCCACCACAATGCATTGTTGCTGTGGCTCTGACTGGACATTTACATACAGGGCTTTTAACCAAGGAGAATGCAGTTGTATTAGTGTACTATTTAGCATTACTGGGAGGAAAGCACAGCATCCTGTTATCTTTGTTTCGAGAGAGTAAAACTATTTTTGAGAGCAAGAGTAATTGTTCGATGTACAGTGCAGCCTTTCTCAATGCGTCCCTTTTGCACTCTATTCTCTGCCTCCAGTCTCTGCTGTGCTCTCAGCTCTTTACAGACCATTCTACACCTATAAAACGGATATCTTCTCAGTGACTGCTCACTCCCAGTGCTGCTGAACCCTTGGGTGTTTTGCTTTGTACTTGTAGGTGTTTAAATTCATAACATGCTCAATAAGAAAAAAAAAGGCCGGTTGAGTCTTCTGTTCTGTTCTGGGTTCAGTTTTGTTTATTTTATTTTGTGTATTTATGTTAGTTGAAATGAACTTTGAATGCTCTCAACTAAAGTGTGCCTGTATTTAACTTTAAACAGTTAAAGTTAAAAGTTAAAATAATGTAAGTCTATTTTGAGATGTCTCCAAAACAAGTCTTTAACCATTTACTGCAATATTCATTACATTTTCAAGATGATTTTGTCAGCATTGCAAACATCTAATATAAGGTACAACATAAAGCGGATTCTTAAGTGCCTGAATGCACCATTATCCTCTCATGAGCTGGACATACAGTTCAGCAGTTCCATCATATTCCATTACAGACAAAACCACTTGAAACATGGGCGAGCAGTTTGTTCTTCCCTTGTGCAAGTAAACTAAAGTGAGGAGAGTCCAAGTTCGTCCGGCTCCTGTTTGACTCATCCTTCTCTTTCCGCTCTATTTCTACAGCCTTGCATCACCGGAGAAATCATGTAATAAAAAGCAACAAAACACAACCCATTTAGGAGGACAGAAACACATTTTAAGCCTTCATCTTGTATTCTGTGCTGCACTTGAACACAGCCGCATTATGCACTCAATGGTCAAGTCATCAGTCTCCAGTCTACAACCCATTTCTTCCTCCATTCACTAATCTGTCAATCAGTGATCACCTCTATTCTCCCCATTATCACTGTGGCAGCAAGCAATCCATACAGCATTTCTTAGATAACCTCAGAGGTGGAATCGAACCCAGGACCTTCTTGCTGTGATGCGCTAGAACAAACCACTGCTCCACCGTGCTGCTCCCATATCATTCAAAAGTTGTTATTACATTTTCATACAAAGTGATATATGACCAAAATATGTAGGCTGTAATTCTGATGATTACTGTATTTTTTGGATTATAAGTCGCTCCGAAGTATCCATCAGACAATGCATAATAAAGAAGGAAAATAACATATGTAAGTGTAAAAAAACGTCTTTACAGGATGGACCAAAAGTTGGCTCTGGGCCCAGAGCTCCGTTCCACATGTGTGTCAATGCTGAGGGGGGTGAATTTTTTTGGACCACTCTAGTTTACTCGCTGTGAATTTTTGAAGTCACCCGTTTAAATGAATGGAGCTCTTGCTGGCTGATGCATGCGCAGATGCGTTTTTTCACAATTTTCTTGTGGGCGTCCCGCTCGCGGCACTCGCGGCAATTTTGGATAGCTCCAGTAGAGCACCTTTTTTGGCCCTTTAGTTAGAACGGTGGAGATAGGCGAGACTCTGTCCGATACAGTATATACAGCCCCGTGAATCCTGCTTTTATATAGCTACACTGTCCTGCCGCTTTGGCGTCTGGCCGCCCTCGTTTCTGGGGTCCGAGCGTGTCGTAGCCGGCTGTGGGTCTGGGCCTTTAAACCGTCACTCGTCAAGGGTGCGCGCTCAGCATTTGCTGTAAAGATGGGGAATGGCCACATCGCGGCCCATCGCTGTTTCTCCAGTTTTCTCCTGTTTCTGCCCCTGTTCCGTGTTTCTTTTGTGTGTCTGCCTGTGATCCTGAGTCCGTTGTGACAGGAAGATACACATCCAGAACTACGAACTGAATTATACATTAAAACATAATAAATCCAAGTAAACTAAACGTCTGCCTTTGCCTCATTATGATTTACAAACCTGTGCGCCTTAGAGCGCTTTTTATTTTATTTTGGGCACTTTTATCTAATTGTTTTATTATTTTAATGAGCGCGTAGTTGCCTCTACTTGCCACAAGAAGAACCGGCTAAGTAAGTGTAGCTTGTATGACACATAAACAACGAACTAAGAATGTGCCTGGTTTGTTAATATAACATATGGTAAGAGTCATTCAAATAACTTTAGCATACATAGAACAAGTTTACCAAAGAATCAGTATCACTCGTAATGAAATCTGCTTGAAATTAACTGTAATAATTTCACGCATAAGTTGCTCCCCCGGCCAAATTGCGGCTTGTAATACAAAAAATACGGTATGTTGTACTGAAGCGACTCTGTCTCAGGTGGTCTTGGAACTTAACAGTCGTGGGTTCAATCCCCCAATGACAAAGTGGCAACTTAACACCACTTTGCCATTTTCCCGTGAACCCACAACCAGCAGGAGGACCAGTGAGGGGCTGGTGCTTTAAGGATTGGGTGGCAGCACTGATTTCCTCCTCCAATAGATGAAAAAAAGGGTAATAATACAGTCCCATTTCAAAATATTCTGATTTTGATATTCTATTTGGGGGTTTTACAAGCTGGAGACAATAATCAACACTATAACAAATAACGGCACTTTGAACATGACGAGTGTGTTGAATATTAGTTTCACATAATAAGACTTTGGAACCATATTCTATTTATCTGGGTGGGTTTTTTCAGGGATTCTGGTGACCCTCATCACACATAACATGCAACAGTTCACTGAGCCTGCAAAGACTTTTCCTGCAAGTGCAAGGCATTATTATTCCTTATCATTTATATCGTAGGGATCGATAGGCTGATAATACATTTTCTCCAGATTACTGCAGATATGAAATTGCTTTTTAAAGACATTTAGCCCTTCCGACGCTGTACAAAAACAGCATGATCACATTGCTGCACCATATATGCTTCAGTCAATGTTTTAACAGTACTTTTCCACTTTGTATGCACTCAAAACCAGTACTCACCCATGCACACACTCCCACACCATGTGCTTACTGAGAGAAGGGTTAGTGTCTTGCCCAAAGACATAACAAACGCTCATCTGTGAGAGTGACTGTACATCCAAGTTTCCAATGTGTGCCATCGTTTTCAATGTTACAACTGATCTTTACCGGTTTAGAAAATTATATACTTCATCAGTGGTTGGCCTCAAGAGAAAATGATTAAGCAAAAGGTGAAAATAACAATGATAATAATACATTTTATTTATATGGTGCCTCTCTAGGCACTCAAGGTCGCCTTCGAAAGGGCACACAGTTAAAAGCAAGACAGTAAAAAGCAAAAACCCGTTAGAAGCAAAAGCAAAAACAACAATTGAAGGAAGTAAATTAAAAAAAATGACAGATGTAATGGACAAGCAATGCATTGGTCAGTCTAGTGTGTTCTTTATTTGTATGTGGACAACTTATGCTGTTTTCATCTTATAAAACATCCTTGTGAGTCACAAATACTCTGAGGCTGAGCTGATTGGCTTCTCTTTTTCTCTTTTTTTTCCTAAAAAAAAGCTGATCTCAAGATGTGACAAAGGCCAAAAAATAAAAGTGTAACTACAGTGATAGCACCAGAGCAAGGAGTTACATAGAATGTATCACATTCTTTGTGGTTTGAATGTCAGGTTGAACATCTTTAAAAGTAATCGTGACACCGGTTTATCAAATATGAATTAAATTCTAAGGCATGTATTCCAAACCCATATAGTCTATCCTCAGTCTTGGCCTTTGAGAAAGACTTTTCCCCCCACGCAAGCTATGTAAACGCTACTCAATACAGCAGAATGGAAAGTAGGTCTATAGAATCTAGACACATAAACGTTCTATATAAACGAATGTAGTTTATTTATATTTTTTATTTTTAATCAGCTGTACAGAACAAGTATTTTCCCATAGTTTGACCTCCATAATTAGTGACTCTGCGTTGGCTTTTCTGTAACATGACTTTGGTTTTTAAATGTTCTCATGGGCTTAGGGCTTCTAATGCCAACTCCCCCGTCACCCTGGTGCATTTTACGCGCGCGGTTGGAAGTATTTTACGCATGGGCTGCAGCTGAACAATAGCCGCTACACACACACACACACACACACACACACACACACACACACACACACACACGCAACAGGCTGTGCAAGTCCACAGTATAATATTTTCAAGAGTTGGAAAAAACAGTTAAATGCGCAGTGCTAATGTTATGGACGTGAATTAACCGCTCTCCTTACCTGACAATAATGTACATGACCAACACGTTTCCAACCAGCCCCACTACGCACACTATGGAGTAGAGTGCCGTGATCACAATTGCAATGATGACCGGGTTCGTGTCGTTACCCAAGTCACTCAGATGTCCCCTCCGGTCCGCGCCCGTGGTGTTGTTGCTGGAGTCGGTGAAGTTGTGACAGAAAAGAGGGAAATGGCAGTAGTCCGAGTCTGAGCTGTTAGGAGCGCTCTCCATGGTGCTCACGCTTCCGAAAGAGTCGCGGTGCGTGTGTGGATCCCCCGGTCACAGGAGCCGTCAGGGCGGATGAGCGTGAGCAGAGACCCGGGGGGAAGAGCCAAAAACCCAAGCTCGTCTCGGTGTTTGTTGGAGTGAGCTGCGTGCGGGGTGAGGCGGTCTGCGTCTGAGCGGCTCAGTGGGAGCTTCTCGCTTCACTGCAGCTGGGACAGGTTCTGAGGACTTCCACCCTCCACCGCGAGAGCTCCTCCAGACACATGGCTTTGTTTACTGTTCTCATGCCCCATCTCTTTGGCACGAATATGAATATGTTTTGGGGTGTTGATTTGAGGAAATTTAAGCAAGTGAATATGTACAGTCATGTGAAAGTATTATGTAAGCCAATGTGATCTCAATTTTTATTTTACGTGGAAGTTCTGCGGCTGCCAAGTCTGAGCTGAGCAGTGTCGGGCATTGGCCAAGTGCCATATTAAGGAGTAATTAATATCAGTAAATAATATCAATTGTTCACGATATATTCCATACGTTGAACTTTTGTAATAGTTGAAGACCAACACTTTGCAAACACACAGAAGATTTTTTGGAAAGAATCAATCTTCACAAAATTAAATAAATGTACTAAAAATTACAATCTGTATTACTGACCTTTTGTTGTCAGTAATACAGATTGATTTCTTGATATATCTGACTAAAAATATAATGAATGTGAATGCTGATTGTGCATCTCCTTTGAATAAATAAAAAGAAAAAAATCTAACATTTGCAACTCTTCTAGTTTTGCTGCTACACTTGTGTAGAAGATGTGGAGAGATATGTGGGTGGAATTGCCGAGGCGGAGACGATAAAAATACAAGCTATACATATTTTTGGGAAACATTTCAGACATTTTGATAAAACTAAATGTTTTGTTCCCGATGTAAAATATTGGCTAGTATTTTTTTCTTCACATGCAGTGACCTGGGCCTGATTCAAATGTTGATCAAATTGGACTCTGTGTAACGAGGACCAATGCCACCCAGCGGCCGCAGAGCGTGGACAGGTCCGGTGCAGGACTGAAGCGCTCCCAGGCGGGTCGGCCAGGGCAATCCGCAGGTGTAGATGGACAGGGCCAGTTCAGAGGTCCCGTTGTCGCGCCATGAAACAGACAATAGGACAACGGGTGAATAGCAATGAACACACTACAGTCAAAATCTTAATAATGCAAACAGGTGCAGGACTGAAGCGCTCCCAGACAGATCGGGCAGGGCAGTCCGCAGATGAAGGTGAAGGAGGCCAGGTTCAGAGGTCCCATTGTCGCGCCATGAAACAGAGAATGGGACAACGGGTGAATAGCAATGAACACACTACAGTTAATAATGCAGATAGACAGTGCCGCCGACAGTGCTTTTTGAGACCTTAGGAACCACCAGACGGCTGGCGTTTTGTGAGAGCAGTGCTCGGCTTGGTTGATATGACACTAACGTGTCTTGGAGATAAGAAGGAGCCAAGCCATTTATGGCTGTGTATGTTAAGAGAAGGATTTTAAACTTTATTCTGTACTCCACAGGGAGCCAGTGGAGTGATTTTAACACCGGGGTTTTATGCTCCCTTCTTTTGGTACCTGTTAAGATCCTTGCTGCTGTATTCTCAACAAGCTCTTCAAAGAGGTTTTTGAGCACGCTGCCAGTAAAGCGTTACAGTAGTCAAGCCTTGAGTTGACAAAAGCGTGGATCAGTTTTTTCACGTCACTTTTAGAAAGGATATTCCTAATTTTAGCAATGTTCCGCAAGTGGAAGAACACAGTTTTAGTTGCTTGGCTTATAAAAAACCTTGAAAGAGAGTTCTTTGTCAAAAATGACTCCAAGATTCTCCACAGTGTTGCTGGGTACAATACTAACATTATCAAAAGTGATTATCTGGTTGGCAAGGGAGTCACGCAGACTCTTTGGACCGAGTAGGATCACTTCTGTCTTCTCCAGGTTAAACAGTAGGAAGTTAAGAGTCATCCACGTTTTAAGGTCTTTTATGCACGTACTGAGCCTTTTCAGCTGATCCGTCTGATTTGGTTTCATTGACAGGTTTTTTTAATTTATTTTTTTTATTAACATTTTATTCAGCAATACAGAAAAAAGAGACAAACATGTGAAAACATAATGACATACAAAAAGGCACAAAGAAACATAAGGTGCAGGTAGAAAAGGAAGTTTGACAGGAGACAAAAGGGAACGTGTGGTGTGTGCGTGCTGTGTGTGTGCACATGCTCTCATGATCATGATTTTACGTGTCCGTTGAGAGAATGCGCAAAGGGAGACAACAATGGTGGTTGCTACCATGACTAAAGTTAAACCAGGGCAAAGTTGCCGAAGGGACTATAATTTTCATTGACAGGTAAAGCTGTGTGTCATCTGCATAGCAGTGGAAATTAATTCCATGCTTTTTAATGATGTTACCTAACGGCAGCATGTAGAGTGTGAAAAAAATCGGTCCGAGTACCGAACCCTGTGGGACACCAAATTCCACTCCAGTATAAGGCGACAAGTTCTGATTCACATTGACAAAGTGATACCAATCTGATAAATAGGCTTTAAACCAGCCAAGGGCTGTTCCTCTAAGACCTATATCACATTCTAGCCTCCGCAGTAGAATGCTGTGGTCTATTGTGTCAAATGCAGCACTATGGTCCAGTAGGACCAGCACTGACACTTGTCCCTTATCAGCAGCTAGTAGTAAGTCATTTGAGACTTTGACTAGTGCCGTTTCAGTGCTATGATGAGCTCTGAATCCTGATTGAAAGATTTCAAACATTATATTTTCCTGCAGGTGGCAGCAAAGCTGTTCAGCTATAAGCTTTTCCAGGTTTTAGATATAAAAGCAAGGGTCGGGATCGGTCTGTAGTTTGTAAGTAGCTCCGAGTCTAGGTTGGTTTTCTTCAGAAGGGGTTTGATAACCGCGGTCTTAAACGCTTGTGGGACATTACGATAGGCTCTATTATCATAGGAAGTATGTCTTTGAAGAGCCAAGTCAGGATTGCATCTAAAATGCAAGTTGAGGCTTTAGAAGATGTGACCACAGAGATCAATTCTGCTTGGCTCACAGCCATGAACTTGTCAAGGCCCACTGAAGAGTCCAAGTGTTAAGTTAAGTACGCCGCTTCAGCCTGTCCATCACCAACACTAGGAGTAACCTCCTCCAGTTTGTCACTGATCGGTGTAATTTTATTATCAAAGAAGTGAAGAAAATCGACACTGCTCAGTGAGCTTGGTATTTTAGGCTCAATTGCGCTATGGCAGTTTGTGAGTTTAGCGACGGTGCTAAACAAGAATCTACTGTTGTTTTTATTCGCTTCTATTAAAGTTGAGTAATATTGAGTTCGAGCCCTGCGAAGGGCATTCTTGTAGTTTCGGAGACCTGCTTTCCACTCCCTGTGGACAGGCTCCGAGTGGGAGTGGCGATATAGCCTCTCCAGTTTTCTAACGTTCTGTTTTAAAGTATGCAGTTGGACACATTCTGGTAGTTAACATGCGCCGGAGGAAAGCACTCATTCAATCTGACGTAGTCATCTTGTTGGAGCCAGCGATTGTAAATGCTGACAGGAGAAGGCCTAGTGGGGAAACTATCAACAGCACATCGCCCCCCCCCCCCCCCCGAACAGTCACAAAGCCATCACTATCCTGGTCTTGTCCCGCTGCAGGGGACGGGATGGGGGCCTCTGTCTTCGCCTATCAAAGCTGTGCTCCACTGTCCGTGAGGATACGGCCTGGCTATAGCTAATGCTAGTGCTAGCTCGAGACTCGAGTACTCGGAGACGTAGCTCTAACTCACTAACCCTGGATTCCAAAGCTACAACTATACTACACTTAACGCATCTATCACTACCCTGAGAGAAAGATCCAGGGTTTAGACTCGCCATATGGCAACTCGAACAGTACAGGGCCGAGGGAGAGACAGCAGCAGCCATGGGAAAAGCGAGTTAGCGGCTAGGCTAGGCCAGGCTTGGCTAGTCCGAACCCGGGTCCCGTACAGCAGACTCCGAGACCGGACAAACAACCGATACCCAAACCTCAGCTACAATACAGCCGATTCAGAGTGCTTACACAGTTAGCTTGTAGTAAACTAATACGTGACTTTATCAAAGGTTAATGCAAACGGAGAGCAGAGGAATAACAGTCAAAACACGCTCACCGGATACGGAAGTCATCAACAGGTGATGATAATGTCTTGAGTTGACAAATATTTTTACAGAATGTTGGTGTCAGGCCGCGGCTCCGACACTGTGTAAATGTAACAATCTTTATTCCCAAAGACATTTCTTTCGCCAGAACAGAATTTTGGGAACATTTTGATGAGTCTTTGTACACAACTCAATGATCAAAAATAATAAAGGAAAGAATCAATAATTGTAAAGCAGTTGAGCAGACAAACACAATAGTTACTTCCCCTCCTCTTGACGTCACCCCGAATGTCCGGCCTTCACTCTTGTCCAAATCCACCGACAGGGACAGCAAGGAATCCGCAGCAGAAAGAAAACATTGCAGAACACAGGAACTGAACATATTCCACTTCAAGTAATTGCAATCTAGGATGAAGAATGAATAGGGAACTCATTTGGGCTGCCGTCAACCAGAGAAATTCTTAGTCGACTAATGGTGCTTTCATGTGCTATGGTAATTATGTTAAATACCACTTGCCGAGTGGAAAATTGCGCATGAACTCCCCCTCATCTTCCAGTTCTCCAGTAGAGATCATTTTGAGCTCCAAGTTGTCAAGATGAATAAACCTTTGACTTTCCAAATGGTGGATTGTAGTATTAATTCAGTCAGAGTTTTGTTCTAGCTCACGCAGTTTGTTTAAGGTATAGAGGAGGATTCTTTACTCCCGGGTGGATCATCAAGACTATTGGTCCTTCAAATTGTCAGTCATTCTGTTGCGCGTCAAATAAGACCAGAGAGTTTTGTTCAAAAAGTGGAGAGGATGGTTCTTTCTGGGTTTCACACGTACTGTAAGAATGATATCCCACGTCA